ATTTTATATATTTTATGACATAGTGATATATAGGTGTGTGTGTGTGTGTGTGTGTGTGTGTGTGTGTGTGTGTGTGTGTGTGTGTGTGTGTGTGTGTGTGTATATATATATATATATATATATATATGCATGTCTGTGTGTGTGTGTGTGTATAATTTTCTAAAAATGCAAAAAATACAATGTGTATTTAATATTTCCATTCTATTCTCTGTTCACCTTCTTTGGAAAATGACAGTGACATACTGTCTGGGATGCGCATGAACTGACTCCATGCTATAACATGTACAAACAGCTGCTTCAGACACTAAAATCGTAAAGAAATGGCTTACTCGTTCTCATTAAAGTTTGACATGTAGGACAACAGCCATGCTTGCATTTATCAGTAAAAGGATGATTTGCATATCATGTCCTTTTGGGAAAACAAAGCAGGTGTGGGAGTACCCACCTGTCAGTCAGGATGATTGACATGATCTCAATAAGCATTTTACGATGCATGGATTGAATAATTTCCCATCTTCCCAAAAAGGAAATGGAAAGATCAAGGGTAGACACTAGCTTCTCCCAGCCCCCTCTGCCCTACCCTCAAATAAAGCACCGTCACCGAAAAGAGACAGTATTGTATTCTACTGTACATGACAAAATGTATTAGAAAAGAGAGAAATAATTCCTGTCAAATTCACTTTTTGTTTTGATTCTTCAGAGAGTCACTGTTCATAAAACATGTATAAATGCTAATAGAAAGAACAATGAATTTAAATGTATAGTCACACACCTCCTTTCATGCAGGTTTTAATATTTTATGGATATTTCACTGAAACAAATGAGAACTACTTTACATTTTCATACTTGTCGTTTCCACCCAGTTTCTACAGATTAATTATAATCCCTCAATGTTCTAAAAGCCTTCATTAAAACGCTGACATCCATTTTCTCATCAAGAGACATTAAGGGCAGATCACAGGGCCAGCTATAGCAAAGGTAGTACAAGGAGAGTGAAGGCCTAGACCAATGACATCGCACATCCACAAATCACGTCTAGTTCCATGCATTTAAATGACCGTGCTACTACAAGTGGATCAGATTAAAACGAGCAGTATTCAAACATTGCTGTTTAACAGCAAATTAGTTATTCTGGTATAAATGTTTATACTTGTCAATTTTTAATTTCATGTTTAATTGTATGTATATCTTGTGAAATGAAATGTCCAAATACAACTGTGTGGCAAATCACATTAAATTACATTAAAAAACACATTTTATTTAAAAAAAATAGCTTTGCCAGAGCAAAGTATACTAGTATACTTTGTATACTAATATATGAAATATTACTTAAATGTAATCTAGTATATTGCTTTTTATACTAGATTACATTTAAGTAATATTTCGCTTTCAAAATTCTCATTTAGAGCAGCCCTGCAGTATAAATAAAAAAAGAAAGAATATATAATGAGAAAATTGCAAGAAACAGGAATTCCTAAGGATTAGTATGTGTGAATGCCTGTTCTCCTTAATTAATGCAGCAGGGGACTGTTTAACAGAATCTTTTAATTAAATCTGATCACATTTTAATAATGTATTTTGATATGTTAAGTCACTTTAACTAAAACAGTTTTTTCGTATTTCCTGAGGGGACTGTTGCATATTTTAAATTAATAGATAATTTTTTAGTCACCTATAGTCACTTTTTACCCTGTGCAAATGGGTTAGACGCAGGGGTCGCCAACTGATGCGTCATGACTTAATGTGACAATTAAATTTCAAAAGGCTATGATTTCATTGAATAAATATGAGCACTGTCTGCAGTCATCATAGATAGGCCTATGTTTAGCAGTCATCTGCTGCGCTGCTTTACATACTGCTCTTACTGGGGAAACCGCTATTTCTGCCGTTCCGAAAGCGCCACCTGTTGGCAGAGAATGAATTCGTATTTTCAAAAAGTTTCAATAAGCTATGCTGTTTGTTCAGACCAATGTGAAAATCAACCCATGTTTTTATGCAGCATAGATTACACGCAGAGCTGTAAATGAACTGGTGGATCGACAAGAAGATAATGTATTATAAAAATGTAAGCAATTAATACAGTAAAATATATTTATGTTATTTAATTAGGCCTAATATCATAATTGATTGATAATAATAGTTTAAATTAATATAATAATTAATACTTTTGACTATGTTTTCTTTAAAAAATGGTTTAAAGGCTGAAATGTGAAGTTTATCATTTTATAAAACTTTTTGTTTTTGTGGAAACCTGTATCTGAACTCTAAATCATGCTTTTTTTATAGTCATGTTCATTTTATTTGTGCAGGTCTTAAAAAGGTCTTAAAAAGTTTTACATTTGAGCTATATCAATTCATGTTTTTCTATAGGCCTATAATTGTCCTCAGCTGGTGAGGAGGGTTCATTACTGGACCTCAAGCATTTTAGTTGAAGACCCGTGTGTTAGACAGTTTGACCACCAATGGAAGCACTAAATCAAATACAATTTAAGTTTTATAGACACATTTTGAAATATTTGTTAGGCCTACATTTATGCCATTAGACTATTCAGTTTGAGCTCCCCTTGCCCCGTGCTTTCAGTGGTCCTATAATATAGATATTAAAACACAAGGAGGCGCTATAATAATAGTTTATTTCCACAAATCACACGTCTAGTTCCATGGATTCAAACGGTCGTGCTACAAATATTACAACTACTGTTTACGTGCAGTTTTTCTTCTTCTTTTTTTAAATCATATCCATGACTTTTATGTGTTTTCTTTGATTTGATAATATATTCTAAGTTATAAAATATTTTTGTTTCATATTCTTCAATCTTGGTTTAAATTCAGCATAAGTTAACTAAATCAGACAGGATTGGAGAACTATAATTTAATATAATTACGTGATCTTTTTATTTATAAATTAGACCTCTTTTACATTAAACATATTAATATTTTCAGCGGGGCACAGTCTTATTAAAGTTACATGGTATCAGCGAGGCTGGCGACGCGACGCGACAGAACCAGAGCGCTCGTTTGCAGATGAGCTGTGTGATGTCACAGGAAACCCGTTGCACACTCTTGCTGCTTCAGGGGCCCCAACTCATCACCGAGGCGAGCACATCTCCCAGACAGTACACACTACACACTACATACTGCCGCAGCGGAGAACAGAGGACCGCGCAAACGAGGTAAGAGCGAGAATTTATGACAACATGTGCATTTATTCTTACGACGCTTATTTCTCGTTCATGGTTTCTAAATGACAAACTCATTGCGCACTTGAGCAAACTTTATCCTGCTGTGCCATATTGCTCAGAACTGAAATAGAACACTTATTTCAATTTAAGTAATTGAATTCTGTTAAGTATATCACTTGCTGTTTGCGTGATGAGTCTCTGTAAATTTGACGATTTATTATTTTTGCTTGTTATTGAAGAACCTTTCAAATTTGAAAGGTTCATGTACCAACTTAGACTAAATCACTTTTTTTAGTCGGACTGTTAATGATCTCAGTTTGACTCAAATGTTTAAATAGCACATTCATCAGTGTTCAGAATGATTACATTTGCAATAACGTTTAAACATTATACACAAATAAAATGGTGAGTTTACATTACAATATACTAACAGTAGTGATAAACTAATAATATAGCTGCCAATATTTGGCAGTTTTAAGGTTATTAGCATTGTACGGTAACTGTACCCAACTGCCTATTACTATTATTAAACTATTATTAGTTTAAATATTGTGTAAAATATGAGTTTATTTACATGTGGCAATTATTTGCTGCTATTGAATTATTATTGCCAGTCCTGCACTGTAAAAAATGAGTGTAATTTTAACGTGTTTGGGATGTGGCTTTTAATGATGAAAGCTTTTTTGTAATCAGGCTCTCAAAAAGTATATAACAATTTGGATATAGATTTATCGGCCAACATATCGGTTATCGGCTTTCAAAAATAAAGAGTAATCAGTTATCGGTATCGGCCAAAATTTTCATATCGGTGCATCCCTAAATATTGTAAAGACGCTACGGGAAAAAAAACTGTTAATAGGTTACAGTAACAGAAAGTTTCCATACTATATACAGAGAAAAACTGTAAAATATCTAACCAGACATTTCATGTAATTTTACAGTAAAATGCTGTTAATTGTAAAATTTTTAGAAGTAAAAAATAACAAATCAACGAATAATTTACAGTAAAAAAACTGTAAACTGATATTCACAGAATTCCCTGCGTGACACTCCACATTTGAAAGTATTTTGTTTAAATAATAATCTTTCTTAATAGTTTTCTCATGTTTGTTATCAGTTATGTACATTTGGGTTAATGTTACGTCTTCTGTTGTTTAATGAATGTTTATTGCATTATTTAAGTGTTTTTTGTTACCATGATGGTGTTTAGTGTTTGCGTGAATGACTCTGTGTGCCTTCTATATATTAGCATGTACTTCAGCTTGTGGAGAAGCTAAATTATTCTTCATATTGCTGTCTTTTTTTACAACCTGCATTATTATGGTAGTTGTCAGTTTATGTTAAAGATACAAAACAGTTTGAAAGTATTTTGTTTAAATAATAATCTTTCTTAATAGTTTTCTCATGTTTGTTATCAGTTATGTACATTTGGGTTAATGTTACGTCTTCTATTGTTTAATGAATGTTTATTGCATTATTTAAGTGTTTTGTGTTACCATGATGGTGTTTAGTGTTTGCGTGATTGACTCTGTGTGCCTTCTATATATTAGCATGTACTTCAGCTTGTGGAGAAGCTAACTGATTCTTCATATTGCTGTCTTTTTTTACAACCTGCATTATTATGGTAGTTGTCAGTTTATGTTAAAGATACAAAACAGTTTTAGTAGCAGTGTGCATTGCTGAATTTACTAGTTTACACTCAAATTTTCTTGTTTGTAAATTACAGTTTTATACTGTAAATTTACAGTTTGTTCTGTAAATTTTTTTGCAGTTTTTCAGTATTTTTTACAACCACAGCTGCCAAAATTATTTTGTAAAAACTACATTTTTACAGTATGGTGGCACCCTAGATGCCACTAAATAATAATAATAATAAATAACTTCTCAGCTGACCACTAATTAACAGTGATGTCTTTCAAATGAACATTGAGGTTTGTAGATGTGTTCTGGATAATGAATCTCTTTAACGCTTCATTAAAAACATAAATAAATTCTTAGAGCACAAGTTTTAAAGAAGACATGTTTTAAGAAAAATCATGAAATACCTATTTAAATGGTTTGGAGGCTTTTGACCAATCATATTATTTTGACTTGTATTAAGACTTGACTTACAGTAAAACTGTTACGTAAATATAAATGTTGACTGCTTACACATTTCACAATTACATTTTATAAGGACTTACATTTTTTATTTTTGGGTTAATATGAAATGCGCGCACACACACTCACACACAAGCAAAACTTGAAAAAAAAGGAATGAGATTCCATCTATTGAAATTTCTTTAAAAATGACAGAATGATTTCAGATGAATTATGACAGTTATGTCTATGAGTAAACGCATCATTACTGCTGAATACAGATTTATTCTGTGTCACTTTATGATAAATCCTTATGAGTGAAGAGCGGAAAAATTTTGTGTTATATCCATGGGTGTTTCCTAAAATGACATGAGTTAAACTATATGTCAGTAGGCTTCCTGATTTAAGATCTGGGGGGTGGCTTTTTATAACCAGGCCCAGTAGAGAGAGAGTGACAGGAGAGAAGGGGAGGGAGGGAATAGGTGGGAGGGTTTGGGTATGAGAGAGAGGGGTCTCTGGGAAAGTCACATCTATAAACCACTCCATTAGCTTCACAGGAAGGGCAAAAAGTTATCATGTTTCAGCCCTCTGTTTTTCCACCAAATGCTGGGGTCATCCAATCATATAGTAAAACACTTTATTTTCACATTCCTATTAGAATGACATCTAAGTGATTTATGCTCACCACCAACACCTGAATGGCCAGATTTATAGCTGTTTTTCCTCTCTTTAGTAGTTTTATGGACTGTTTTTGTATTTCTTTCATCACATCACAGTTTTTTTTAGTGTAGATTTAGTGTAAAATAAGTAATCAAGAAAATGTTCAGCCGATTAAGAAATGTCATTTATTAGGGCGCACTTAGTAGATTTCTGATGATAATTCATTGTTTCACAGAGTCGTCATTTTTCTTATGTATGTTGATCTTGACTTAAAGAAGGCACCCTCATGATAAGTTAAATTTCGTTCTGAACTTTAGTTCTCAAAGTATTTAATGTATAAAAACAATATTGCTTCTCTGATATCGTGGTATATGGGCAGCTGATAAATTATATAGATTTCAAGATTGTAGGTACAAATTAATCTGTCCTGTGAAATGGCATGAATTTTGCACAATACAAATATTGAATGTACTGTTTCAATAAATAGCTGGCTGTTTATCTTGAATGAAGGACTGAAAGTTGATCTGTCAGGGTTTGGAGCTTACAGGACTGAGTTCTTGTATTCAGATAAATGCTGATGACACCGAAACACATAAATTCTGCATTGATGGTGATTTACATTGTTTAAGTGAATATGTTATGCAAACTGCCACTGAATTAGCTGAACTAGAAACAATTGGACACACATTGAATGGTGACGGCAATGTTACGGTTACAGCCGGTGCAATTGACAGACAGTTGCAATTGACTAATGTTTTCAAACAGGTTTCCAGAACACTGTCTGACTGGACAAAGATCTGACCCCAAACTCCTGCCATTGTTTGGACAAATGTTGCTATGTTGAACTGGCTGGGATGTTCAAATCGAACAATGCTGAAATTATCACAATGTTTACACTCTTCAGTAATGTATTCTATCAGTGTATTTCTCTGCATATTAGGAGAGAGTGTTGAATATTACACAGAGGTGTAAGAGTTAAGAGTTGTTTTCAGTCCTGGTGCTGGGGGCCCATGCCACAGCACATTCTGTATGTCTTATTTACAGAGTCTGACACAGTGGATACTGTAGAGAGACATTCATAACATTCATTGAGCTTGGAACTACAACAGTTCTGGCTTGTGCAGTGTTTTTTGAGCTATATAAATCTATAGACTCAGACCTACTAATTCAGACAGAAATAGTTTGTAAAGTATTTGTGTCATTTTGCAGGGAAACTTCTGGAGGTGTGATTTGTAGCTGTTGGGAAAATAGCTATCAAAATGTATTGAAATTGCAAAAAAGTGAAGTTAGAAAGGAAGCTAATCTTTTGTTTGCAGGTGCCAATTGCTTTGATATTTTGATTTATAATCAATGTATAATTATCACTGAAGCTAAGCAGGGCTGAGCCTGGTCAGTACCTGGATGGGAGACCTCCTGGGAAAACTAGGTTGCTGCTGGAAGAGGTGTTAGTGAGGCCAGCAGGGGGTGCTCACCCTGTGATCTGTGTGGGTCCTAACGCCCCAGTATAATGACGGGGACACTATACTGTCAACAAGCACCGTCCTTCGGATGAGACGTTAAACCGAGGTCCTGACTCTCTGTGGTCATTAAAAATCCCAGGATGTCTTTCCAAAAGAGTAGAGGTGTGACCTCGGCATCCTGGCCAAATTTGCCCATTGGCCTCTGATCATCATGGCCTCCTAACAATCCCCATATCTGCTAATTGGCTTCATCACTCTGTCTCCTCTCCATATATATATATATATATATATATTATGATATCAGAGGGTGGCTTCCATACCTACCTACTCTATCCCTATTAACCACATTTTTCTCTTAAATATATAGCATCATCTGATCTATGATATCTGAAATGAGCAAATTAATTGGTTAAATGGAAAAAAAGAAAATTATATTTTATGTGTTAGTCCCCATTACCAAACAGAAAATGCATGTGCCTGGCCATTCCTCCTCATGTAATTCAGTTTCATGCCATTTAATCAGATAGCAGAGCAATGTGAACTCTATATATAATACCTTTATCATTATTTATGAAGCAAAATACTGGTATTATTACAGTAGTGCAAGACGAAAAGTCTTACACAGAAATTTCTTCAAAAGGCACGATTATTGCCATTATGCACTGAGAAATATTTCCTGTCCAAATGGAAGTTATAAAAAAAACCACACGTTCGCTAATTCACTTTGTCTGGACCTCTGGGAAGCATGTTCATTTTTGAGACTAAAGACAAATCCAAATGGATAATTTTCCACATATGAGTCTAGTCATGTGGTTTCGGGTCCCCATCCAAGTAGGAAATGTTTGGAGGCCGAACAAAAGAATCACATGGCGTTTCAGCCCCTTGGCCATGGCCATACCGACAGGTATTAATTTAAAAAGGAAATAACAACAGAATCAAGGCAGATGTTAAAGATGTTTTGGAATGCTCTGATAGTTCCACATGGAACACCATAAAAAGAATAAACCGGGGTTGTGTATAATCAAACTGTTGTCCAGGATGTCATAAAACATTAGCATGTAAAAATAGTGAATGCTTTTTTGCAAGCAACTTTATTGTGGCTAAAACAGATCTTTCTATGCTTTGAAACTGATTTATGATGTTATCTATAGCAAGCCAAAACAGCAACGGTGAACCGTGTAATGCATGTTTAATGATGCTTTCTTGCCTTTTGTGGTGATTATAGGCGTCCTGATGGACTGAACTTTCATGTAAAGCAGGCTTTGATTTTGCCCTCTTTTCCAACTTAACAACAGCGCTGTTACCACACTTCTGGGAGTTCACCTGGCTCCAATGGCTTGTTTAATTGGAACTGAGAGTTTACTGTCACCTTGACTAAAATAACCATTAGAAATTCTTTAGGGAAATCCCTAATTTCATGTTTTCATTTTTAGCTCACCTACACTCTTTGTTTAGGTTAATTAACCAAAATCTACTAGCAAAGTGTCCGTTCATCGCTCAATTCTTTGGATGTAAAACAGATTACTCTGTTTGCTTTCAGCAGAAACATTCAGATCATTTGGAGACACAAAAGCCAAACAGTGGAACCATGTTTGGATGCTGCATTACCTCTTTTCTCTTTCTGTCGGCAACCTCTGAGGTATTTGTTTGTCATAAGCAATTAACATAAAAGTTATACATAATGTAAAATAATTCATTAATTACCATTAAATTAAGTACAACAAAACACAGACCCATGAAAAGTTTAGTACTTAGCAAACAATCAGTAATTTGGCTGTGTTACACATGTGCACGATTACTATGCAATTCAAAGATCCTGGAGAGATAAAATTGTATTTTCTAAGGTTTATGTTTCATCATCTAATGTCATTGTTGATCTTTTTTTCTCCTATTTTTGAATAGTTTTTTGTGGCGGTCCTCTCAGAGAACAACACTGGAGGTACGGCACAAAAGAATACCCCTGAAATGGGCTTCACTCGTCACAATATTTTGACCGCCCAGTTTGAATGCTACCAGAAGATTATGAAAGACACTAATCACAACAGAACAGGTGAGAGGTCCTTATTTCACACAGATTCTTGACTATGAGCAATATCTATAAACTTTGCCCTGACATGTAGTTTGTGGGAAGTCATGGCAGTTACAGAATTCCACTGTAAAAGGGAGGTTTAATATCTGCCCTCAGTCTCTATTTGGATGCTCTTAAGAATATTAGGGGGCATGGACCGAAACCGCATGATGTTTTGTCTCATCATCCTGGAACTTACAGGCTTTAATGTGAACAGATGATTAAATGGAAACATTCTGTGGGGCGTGTCCTACAACATGAATTTGTTCATCTACAGAAGCCCAACATTAGCTGTCTGACCTCTGAATTAAGATTCATTGCTGTCTATGGGACACAAGTTACATTTGAAGGACAGCGATTAAAGCTTGACAGGGGTTGTGTGACAGCTGTTAAAAGCTGTTTGGTAAAGACCTTCAAAACTGAGGATTCATTTGCAGTGATCCATTTACACAGTGTGTGAAAAATAGAGCATTTGTTGTTCTCAAAATTTAATCACTGACTTTTTAAAACAAATTATTAAAATAATATCTGGAAATTTACTTTGTGCTGAGTTTACATCTTTACGTTTTCTGTACCTAATATTATAACAAACATTTTTAATTCAAATGGAACTGAACCAATTTAAAGAACTGTGGCAACGTCTCCAAGACACTTGAAGAAACTTACCTGCAAAGCGACAGTACTGTGTAAAGTGAGGATGCTTTCAAAAATAATGACATAAATACATTTTATTTATCAATTAACTTTTATTAACTAAATCAAATCAATATTTGGTGTGACCACCCTTTGCGTTTAAAACAGCTTTTGCCCTAGGTACACTTGTGCATACTTTTTCAGATAGCTTTGTTGGAAGATTTTTTTCACGCATCTTGGAGCTGTTTCCCCAGTTCTTCACAGTTTTCTGATTATTCATGTCATTCCAGATGGACTGGATGATGGTGAGATCAGATCTCTGTGGAGCACTGGCTGTTGTCAGACTTGTGCATACAAAAATCTCACTGGATTATTACAATTAATGGCAAAAGGAATGTTTAGAAATGAAAAGATATTTCCTACTGACACACTACAGTAAAAGACAGAAATAACTGGCTTAAAACCATTGTTTCATTGGTGAAAATACCAATGGATTTTGCACAGTACTGTATATGTAGCCTATTTGTACATATATGCATATTTTGCAAAATATGCATATATTAACAAATATTTAAGTAGTTGAGAGTGTGGTGTTTCATGGGAGTGGGTGTAAATAACTTCTCAGCTGACCACTAATTAACAGTGATGTCTTTCAAATGAACATTGAGGTTTGTAGATGTGTTCTGGATAATGAATCTCTTTAACGCTTCATTAAAAACATAAATAAATTCTTAGAGCACAAGTTTTAAAGAAGACATGTTTTAAGAAAAGTCATGAAATACCTATTTAAATGGTTTGGAGGCTTTTGACCAATCATATTATTTTGACTTGTATTAAGACTTGACTTACAGTAAAACTGTTACGTAAATATAAATGTTGACTGCTTACACATTTCACAATTACATTTTATAAGGACTTACATTTTTTATTTTTGGGTTAATATGAAATGCGCGCACACACACTCACACACAAGCAAAACTTGAAAAAAAAGGAATGAGATTCCATCTATTGAAATTTCTTTAAAAATGACAGAATGATTTCAGATGAATTATGACAGTTATGTCTATGAGTAAACGCATCATTACTGCTGAATACAGATTTATTCTGTGTCACTTTAAGATAAATCCTTATGAGTGAAGAGCGGAAAAATTTTGTGTTATATCCATGGGTGTTTCCTAAAATGACATGAGTTAAACTATATGTCAGTAGGCTTCCTGATTTAAGATCTGGGGGGTGGCTTTTTATAACCAGGCCCAGTAGAGAGAGAGTGACAGGAGAGAAGGGGAGGGAGGGAATAGGTGGGAGGGTTTGGGTATGAGAGAGAGGGGTCTCTGGGAATGTCACATCTATAAACCACTCCATTAGCTTCACAGGAAGGGCAAAAAGTTATCATGTTTCAGCCCTCTGTTTTTCCACCAAATGCTGGGGTCATCCAATCATATAGTAAAACACTTTATTTTCACATTCCTATTAGAATGACATCTAAGTGATTTATGCTCACCACCAACACCTGAATGGCCAGATTTATAGCTGTTTTTCCTCTCTTTAGTAGTTTTATGGACTGTTTTTGTATTTCTTTCATCACATCACAGTTTTTTTTAGTGTAGATTTAGTGTAAAATAAGTAATCAAGAAAATGTTCAGCCGATTAAGAAATGTCATTTATTAGGGCGCACTTAGTAGATTTCTGATGATAATTCATTGTTTCACAGAGTCGTCATTTTTCTTATGTATGTTGATCTTGACTTAAAGAAGGCACCCTCATGATAAGTTAAATTTCGTTCTGAACTTTAGTTCTCAAAGTATTTAATGTATAAAAACAATATTGCTTCTCTGATATCGTGGTATATGGGCAGCTGATAAATTATATAGATTTCAAGATTGTAGGTACAAATTAATCTGTCCTGTGAAATGGCATGAATTTTGCACAATACAAATATTGAATGTACTGTTTCAATAAATAGCTGGCTGTTTATCTTGAATGAAGGACTGAAAGTTGATCTGTCAGGGTTTGGAGCTTACAGGACTGAGTTCTTGTATTCAGATAAATGCTGATGACACCGAAACACATAAATTCTGCATTGATGGTGATTTACATTGTTTAAGTGAATATGTTATGCAAACTGCCACTGAATTAGCTGAACTAGAAACAATTGGACACACATTGAATGGTGACGGCAATGTTACGGTTACAGCCGGTGCAATTGACAGACAGTTGCAATTGACTAATGTTTTCAAACAGGTTTCCAGAACACTGTCTGACTGGACAAAGATCTGACCCCAAACTCCTGCCATTGTTTGGACAAATGTTGCTATGTTGAACTGGCTGGGATGTTCAAATCGAACAATGCTGAAATTATCACAATGTTTACACTCTTCAGTAATGTATTCTATCAGTGTATTTCTCTGCATATTAGGAGAGAGTGTTGAATGTTACACAGAGGTGTGCTGTATAAGAGTTGTTTTCAGTCCTGGTGCTGGGGGCCCATGCCACAGCACATTCTGTATGTCTTATTTACAGAGTCTGACACAGTGGATACTGTAGAGAGACATTCATAACATTCATTGAGCTTGGAACTACAACAGTTCTGGCTTGTGCAGTGTTTTTTGAGCTATATAAATCTATAGACTCAGACCTACTAATTCAGACAGAAATAGTTTGTAAAGTATTTGTGTCATTTTGCAGGGAAACTTCTGGAGGTGTGATTTGTAGCTGTTGGGAAAATAGCTATCAAAATGTATTGAAATTGCAAAAAAGTGAAGTTAGAAAGGAAGCTAATCTTTTGTTTGCAGGTGCCAATTGCTTTGATATTTTGATTTATAATCAATGTATAATTATCACTGAAGCTAAGCAGGGCTGAGCCTGGTCAGTACCTGGATGGGAGACCTCCTGGGAAAACTAGGTTGCTGCTGGAAGAGGTGTTAGTGAGGCCAGCAGGGGGTGCTCACCCTGTGATCTGTGTGGGTCCTAACGCCCCAGTATAATGACGGGGACACTATACTGTCAACAAGCACCGTCCTTCGGATGAGACGTTAAACCGAGGTCCTGACTCTCTGTGGTCATTAAAAATCCCAGGATGTCTTTCCAAAAGAGTAGAGGTGTGACCTCGGCATCCTGGCCAAATTTGCCCATTGGCCTCTGATCATCATGGCCTCCTAACAATCCCCATATCTGCTAATTGGCTTCATCACTCTGTCTCCTCTCCATATATATATATATATATATATATTATGATATCAGAGGGTGGCTTCCATACCTACCTACTCTATCCCTATTAACCACATTTTTCTCTTAAATATATAGCATCATCTGATCTATGATATCTGAAATGAGCAAATTAATTGGTTAAATGGAAAAAAAGAAAATTATATTTTATGTGTTAGTCCCCATTACCAAACAGAAAATGCATGTGCCTGGCCATTCCTCCTCATGTAATTCAGTTTCATGCCATTTAATCAGATAGCAGAGCAATGTGAACTCTATATATAATACCTTTATCATTATTTATGAAGCAAAATACTGGTATTATTACAGTAGTGCAAGACGAAAAGTCTTACACAGAAATTTCTTCAAAAGGCACGATTATTGCCATTATGCACTGAGAAATATTTCCTGTCCAAATGGAAGTTATAAAAAAAACCACACGTTCGCTAATTCACTTTGTCTGGACCTCTGGGAAGCATGTTCATTTTTGAGACTAAAGACAAATCCAAATGGATAATTTTCCACATATGAGTCTAGTCATGTGGTTTCGGGTCCCCATCCAAGTAGGAAATGTTTGGAGGCCGAACAAAAGAATCACATGGCGTTTCAGCCCCTTGGCCATGGCCATACCGACAGGTATTAATTTAAAAAGGAAATAACAACAGAATCAAGGCAGATGTTAAAGATGTTTTGGAATGCTCTGATAGTTCCACATGGAACACCATAAAAAGAATAAACCGGGGTTGTGTATAATCAAACTGTTGTCCAGGATGTCATAAAACATTAGCATGTAAAAATAGTGAATGCTTTTTTGCAAGCAACTTTATTGTGGCTAAAACAGATCTTTCTATGCTTTGAAACTGATTTATGATGTTATCTATAGCAAGCCAAAACAGCAACGGTGAACCGTGTAATGCATGTTTAATGATGCTTTCTTGCCTTTTGTGGTGATTATAGGCGTCCTGATGGACTGAACTTTCATGTAAAGCAGGCTTTGATTTTGCCCTCTTTTCCAACTTAACAACAGCGCTGTTACCACACTTCTGGGAGTTCACCTGGCTCCAATGGCTTGTTTAATTGGAACTGAGAGTTTACTGTCACCTTGACTAAAATAACCATTAGAAATTCTTTAGGGA